ATATTTAGTTTATAAACTATGACATTTATAAATGTATGAATCATATGGTGAAAAACTGACTTTGAAAAAATAAATCTGTTCTTTTTTTCTTATAAAAGGCTAAATAAAACAAAAATATAGGTGGTAATTTCATGACTGTGTAACTTTACAAACGGCACCCCATAATAAATACTATCATGACATTTAAAGTGCAAAAAATGAATATTCTGCTCACATTTCTTTATTTTAACTTTGAACACAAACTGTGTCCAGGCTGACATGTTTAATGTGTGTTTGCTCAGATTGAGGTGATGCATGATTACCAGGGTAACCGCAGCTGTCTGTACGGTCCCAACCCTGAAACGGACTCAGAGGCCGAGGACAATCCAGAGCAGGTGACACGGTGAGCAGTCTGACCTGGAACACCACCTGAAGCCCTGGATGTGTAGCAGTCTGCAGCCACCTTTTAAACTTCATTTATTTTAGGTGTTTGAGGCTTTTTATTTAGAGTTTTTTTAATTTGACTTGTTTCCAGCCACATTATGAAGGAGCTGATAGCTACAGAGAGGATCTATGTGGATGAGCTGCTGTCTGTCCTTTTGGTGAGCCTGCTTACATTWGAAACAGCAACATCAGATTAAAACGCAGATTGTTAAAACAGGTTTAAATTGGGCATTTCTTGATTTTTTTACCCCTTTGCCTGCTTATGTTTCAGGGCTACAGGGCAGAAATGGAGGACCCCTCCATTGCTAATCTTCTTCCCTCGGCTCTCCGCAGCCAGAAGGATGTTCTGTTTGGCAACATGCCAGAGGTTTACCAGTTCCACAGCAGGCAAGCCACACATAAACACACTTTCACTCTTAGCTCACCAGCTGTCACCATTTTATTTTCTGTTTTCATGTCTTTTTTTTCTTTATTCTTAATTTTCCGTCTGCATCCACAACTTAGGATCTTCCTCCAAGATCTGCAGGGTTGCCTGGAGACCCCGGAGAGGGTGGGGATGTGCTTTCTGCAACGGGTGAGCACACATGGAGACTTAATCTGATGTGGAAGAAAAAAAAAGTAGTAAGTGTGCTGTGTGTTTGAGCAGAAGGAGAAGTTCCAGGTGTACGAGCGTTACTGCCAAAACAAACCGTGCTCTGAGCTGCTGTGGAGACAGTGCTCCGAGTCACCCTTCTTTCAGGTGCGTAATTAGAATGGTAAACGTTCGCACGTCATTTTCTGGTGCGTTTTGCCGAGCTAACGCCAGATTTCTGTCYCGTTAACGCTCTCTGCAGGAGTGCCAGAAGAAACTGGACCACAAGTTGGGTCTCGATTCCTACCTCCTGAAACCAATCCAGCGCCTCACCAAGTACCAGCTGCTGCTGAAGGTTTGGCACGCAGAGCAACACAGAACAAGCAGTTATAATCACCGTCATACAGGAAGTCTTGGTATTAAATAACGATTGTTTGGGGAGGATGATTTTTGCAGGGGATTAGTGCTCATGTCTCTCACTTACTCGTTTGCTGTATCCGCTTAATCCTGGAGGATTAGCAGCGAAACACAAGGATCAAAATAATAGCAGTAAAATATTATTGTAGAAGTTATTACATGTTGGGCAATATGAGGGAAAAAGAAGCAAAAATTAAAACGCCATATTGCTTGCATGCAAAGGTTTAAAACAAAGACCTGTTAGTGCTCAGGTTTTAAATTAGGAATGACTCTCAGCTACTGCTACATTGAAGTTTAGTTCAAAAAGCGCCATGTGGTTTATGAGGTTTTATTCCTAACAGACAGAAAACACAAGTGCACTGCAAAAACTGTCCATCTTACCAAGTTTTAAAATTCAATATCCAGCCAAAAAGTCTTTTTGATCTTGTTTTGAGACTGATTTACTAAACAAGAACTGATT